CGTACAGAACAGGAGGAAAACGAGGCCGCTCTCCCAGGTCAGTCAGCAGGTAGGTGAGCCAGCGAGCCTCCTGTGCAGCCATGGCTGTGGCGTAGATCTCAGCTTCACAACTGGAGCTAAGAACAGAAGAAGAGCGGGTAGACCGCCAAGAGACAGAACCAGAGCCAAGGCTGAACGAGTAACCCTGTGACGACCGCTGCGTAGCCTGGTCGTCAACCCACGAGGCGTCAGAGTGACCAGTGAGAACAACTCGACTCGGTCCTCCAAGCACGAGCCCCACGCCTGACGTACTCAACAAGTAACGCAGCACCCTCTTTGCAGCTTCCATGTGCACCTTTCGGTGCCTGCCTAGAGCCACGTAGCGAGCCAGAAGGCTGAGAAGGTACGCGAGGTCTGGTCGAGTGCAAGTCATCAGGTACATGAGGCAGCCCACAAGCTCCGGGTATGGACCACTCGGCTCTACGGACTCGTCCGAAGGTGGAGCTGAGAGCGAGTGGCCGATGGCCAGAGGAATGGACTGTGGCGAGGACCAAGTGAAGCCGAAGCGCTGAAGGATCTGCTGCACCATGTGTGACTGTGTCAGTGTGATGGTGCGGCGTGCTCTGTCCCGGGTGATCTGCAAGCCAAGATAGCTGCGCAGCTCACCCAGGTCTGTGCACCTGTGTCTCTTCTGCAGCTCGGACTTCACGTGTGCAAGTGCCTCAGTGTCAGGAGTGGCAAAGACCAAGTCGTCGACGTACACGAGGATGTAGAACGGCGGCAGGGAGGTGTCGGTGCGTAGAAACAGCGACGGGTCAGCAGTCGAAGGGGCAAACCCAAGTGCCGCAAGCGTCGTCCTCAGTGTGTCGTGCCACTCACGAGGTGCCTGGCGGAGACCGTAGACTGGCCGCCGGAGGCTCCACTAGGTACCAGGAGGAAACGACCCAGTGAAGCCAGGTGGGCGGCGCAGCCAGATCTCCTCGTGCAGGCTGCCCTGTAGGAAAGCAGTGCTGAAGTCAAGAGAGTGAAGCTCGTAGTCACGCTGAGCGGCTATGTGCAGCAGCACCCGAAGAGTGGTCATCTTCGGGGTGGGGGAGAAGGTCTGAAAGAAGTCGACCCCCTCACACTGACTGAAGCCACGTGCACCGTACCGAGCCTTGAAGACAGGCGGAGAGCCCGGTGGCCGTTTAACCCTGAAAATCCACATGCCATTGACGATGTTCGCCCCAGGTGGGGGAACCTCGTCGACGTAAGTGCCAGTGGACTTCCAAGATGCCATCTCTGCGTCCATGGCTGTCTGCCACTGAGAGGAGTACTCACCCGCAATCGCCTCTGCGTAAGAGCGCGGGGTGGGGATGTCTGGTGCATCCGGGTCTCCCTCAGGTGCAAGCAGCATGGCCAAGAGATGAGGTACAGCAGCCGCAAAGCAGTGCAGCTCCTCCTGCCTGTCCTCAAGGACGTCAGTGCCAAGAGCACACTCACCCCCGACGGACGGAGGACAGACAGACTCAGTCTCAGACGCAGACTCAGTGACAAGACGGGCAGCGTAGACTAGACGACACAGCGCGGCAAACTCTACAAGCTCAGCGACGAGGGCAGACGCAGCAGGAGACGAGAGGTCAGGGTCAGTCACACACGTAGCAAGAAAACGAGTAACAGTGGGGTTCGCAGCGCGAACACGGTCAGACTCAGGGTCCGGAAGCTCCGGAAGAGAGGACGCAGGAGGAGACGGCAGAGGGACACGCTGCGGACCAGTGGACGGACGGAGCGCCATCAGGTGCGTGCCAGGGACAGCAGGAGGACGCTGACGCGCAACACGACGACCAGTGCTAACGACACGAACAGGCGACGCGGGACGAGACGCAGGCTCACGACGCTCAGTAAGACCGCCAGTCTGCGCAGTGTAAGGAGACGGAGAAGGCAGTGGAGAGCCGGCCTCTAAAGGCGGCTGTGACTGGTCTGGCGGGGGACAGAGCAAAGGAGGAGGAAGGCTAGAGGAAGGTGGAAGACCAAGAACCTGCTGAAGCAGCGGAAGAAACTACGGTCGTGGCCGAGCAGCGGCACCAGGACTACCACCGACAGCACCAGCACCCCCAGGGTCAGCAGCTCCAACTCCAGGGTCCGCAGCAGCAGCAGCGGCTCCAGCTCCAGGAACCGCAGCACCAGCAGCAGCTCCAACTCCAGGGTCCGCAGCACCAGCAGCGGCTCCAACTCCAGGGTCCGCAGCACCAGCAGCGGCTCCAGCTCCAGGGTCCGCAGCACCAGCACCAGCAGCAGCTCCAACTCCAGGGTCCGAGGCACCAGCAGCAGCTCCAGCTCCAGGGTCCGCGGCACCAGTAGCGGCTCCAGCTCCAGGGTCCTCAGCACCAGCAGCAGCTCCAGCTCCAGGGTCCTCAGCACCAGCAGCAGCTCCAACTCCAGGGTCCACGGCACCAGCAGCAGCTCCAGCTCCAGGGTCCAAAGCACCAGCAGCGCCACTCCGGAGACTGCAGCGCCGAGCGTACCACTCTCGGAGCCGCTGGGGAGAGGGCGGCTCCCGCCTACGCGGGGAACCACGAGCACCAGCTCCAGCAGCACCCCTAGCCACAGAAGCGCCCCTCCTGAGGCTGCAGTACCGCGAGTACCACTCACGAAGCTGCTGTGAAGAGGGAGCGCCTCCAGGCGCAGCACGGTCAGTCGCAGCACCCCCAGGCTCAGTACCCTCAGACGTAGCACTCTCAGGCTCAGCACCCCCAGACTCAGCACCCTCAGGCTCAGCACCCCCAGGCTCCGCACCCCCAGGCTCCGTACCCGCAGGCTCAGCACCCCCAGGCTCCGCACGCTCAGGCTCAGCACCCCCAGGCTCCACAAACCCAGGCTCCGCACGCTCAGGCTCAGCACCCCTAGCAGGACGAGAGTCGACATCTACCTCGACAGGCTCAACCGGGTCTACCTGGGACACACCTGAGGGAGCGGCACCCTGAGGGGGGACGGGGTCTACCACAGCAGCACCTGGTGCGAGGAAGAGAGGCGGGGGGGGGGAGCGAGGCAGTGCGGTAGGGGAAGAGGCGGTAGTAGGGGACCGACTCGTCGAAAGTGACGTCCTGAGAGGGCAAGACACGGCGCGAGGTGGCGTGGTAAAACTGCCAACCAGACGCGTCCGGGACAAAGCCAAGGAAGACACAAGGAACAGCGCGGGAGGAGAGCTTGTCCGCGGACGTATCGCGGACAAAAGCACGAGATCCCCAGACCCGAAACACCGACGCATCGCCAACCTCTCCCGTCCAACGCAGTGTCGGCGAAGTCTCCGGAACGGAGACACGGGGCCAGAGGTTGAGCTGATGCGCAGCGTATCGGACCGCAAACGGCCACAGAAAGTGGGGGGGCAGCCGCATGGATCAAGGAGGTACGAGCGACCTCCATGACCAAGACAATGCGGCGCTCAGCAACCCCATTCTGCTGTGGAGAGGCCGGAAGCGTGAACGACTGCTCAATGCCCTCCCCACGACAAAAGTCCCTCAAGAGGTCGGAGGAAAACTCCCCACCTCTGTCAGAGTGCAGACGCAGGACAGGAAAGTCCGAGTGGAACCTCTCGCTGAGCTGGAGACGGGCAGCGCGGATCCAAGGGATCAAAACATCAGGGACTTCACTCTTGGTGCGCAAGGGGAAGACCGTGGTGTAGCGCGAGTAGTCGTCAACACCTCTCGTGACCCTGTCAACGGACGCGGGTTGGGCCCCACACGTCCATGTGGAGGGTCTGCAGGGGAGCAGTCGTCGGGGGAAACGAGGAGGAGTGAGGAGCGGCGCGCTGCTGCCCCTCGACACAGGGAAGACAGGGAGGAGCAGGCGAGGGCGGGAGGGGAGGGAGAACCCTGGGAAGACCAGAGACAAGGTACCGGGAGTGCATGCCACGAAGGCGCTGCACTGACGGGTGACCAAGGCGGTGGTGCCAGAGGACGGTCTGGTGCGACAGGGAGCGACACGAGCAGGGGGCCGACAGCTGACCTGACGCAGACGCAGACGCAGCTACCTGAGGGGACTCAGTGGTCAGTGTGTACAGGTCCGACCCCGGCTGCCGAGTGAAGGTAGCCAGGTGGCGACCCGTCCGAGCACACGTGCAGTGTGTCACGCGCTCGTAGGCAGGGGTGAACTGGTGGACACCCCCGTCCTGGAGCGCACGACCCGCCACCAAGTTCGTAGAGAACGAGGGGAGGTAGAGACCTGACAGTGTGCCCGACGGGACCGCAGGACAAGGGAGGACAGTGGAGGAGGTCGCAATGACCAGACCCCCAGAGGGGTCAGCGAGGGAGACTGCAACCGGCCGAGCAAGCTGCTCAAGGGCAGTGCGGTCACGAAAGAAACAACGGGAAGCACCTGAGTCCAGTGTGAAGGTGTGCAGTGCCTCAGTAGACGCAGTACCAGAGGGCGCAGACTCACGAGCACCTAGAGCAGCAGCCTCACCAGCACCTGGGGCAACAGACACACTAGCACCTAGAGCGGCAGCCTCACCAGCACCTGGGGCAGCAGACACACTAGCACCTAGTGCGGCAGCCTCACTGGTCCTAATGCCCGGTTCGGGCGGGACACGCAGGTAACAGTCACCCTCTCCACTACCAGACAACACATACATAGCACCAAGAATAGCATCAAAGTCAAGAGCATAGACATCAATGTTTTTCTTGATCAGATCAAACCAGCGGGGCAGCTCAGTGGCAGTAGGAAACTGAGTGCGCCAGGCGTCGTCGAGGCGGGAGAAGCAGCGCTGCTGCGTGTGCGCCCTCCCACACGTCTGACCAATGCGGTCACCTGTGCGGATGACGTACGGGCAGCTAAGGCCACCCCCCCCACGCTGAGAGTACCACTCACGAAGCCCCAATTCGCCTTCCTTCTGTCCCTCCCCAATTCGCCTTCCCTCTGTCCCTCCCCAATTCGCCTTCCCTCTGTCCCTCCCCAATTCGCCTTCCCTCTGTCCCTCCCCAATTCGCCTTCCCTCTGTCCCTCCCAGCGTTCCATCCAGTCACGCCTGCGGCGCCCCCGCTGACTTAGCCATCAAGCCTCTTGACAGGCCTGATTCTGACACGACTTCTCGGGTGTACTAGTGTGAGTGTCCCCGACTCCTGGTACGTACCTGGTATGTACCTGGTGTGTGCCTGGTTTTCGCCCGTGCGCCCCCCCTTACCCTTCTCATCCCCACTCCCCTTGCCTCCTGTCCATCCCCACTTCCCTTTCCCCCTGTCCATCCCCACTCCCCTTGCCCCCTGTCCATCCCCACTTCCCTTTCCCCCTGTCCATCCCCACTTCCCTTGCCCCCTGTTCATCCCCACTTCTCTTTCCCCCTGTCCATCCCCACTTCCCTTTCCCCCTGTCCATCCCCACTCCCCTTTCCCCCTGTCCATCCCCACTTCCCTTTCCCCCTGTCCATCCCCACTTCCCTTTCCCCCTATCCATCCCCACTCCCCTTTCCCCCTGTCCATCCCCACTTCCCTTTCCCCCTGTCCATCCCCACTTCCCTTTCCCCCGGTCCATCCCCACTCCCCTAAACCCCTGTCCATCCCCACATCCCTTTCCCCCTGTCCATCCCCAATTCCCTTTCCCCCTGTCCATCCCCACTTCCCTTTCCCCCTGTCCATCTCCACTTCCCTTTCCCCCTGTCCATCCCCACTCCCCTTGCCCCCTGTCCATCCCCACTTCCCTTTCCCTCGGTCCATCCCCACTCCCCTAAACCCCTGTCCATCCCCACATCCCTTTCCCCCTGTCCATCCCCAATTCCCTTTCCCCCTGTCCATCCCCACTTCCCTTTCCCCCTGTCCATCCCCACTTCCCTTTCCCCCTGTCCATCCCCACTCCCCTTGCCCCCTGTCCATCCCCACTTCCCTTTCCCTCGGTCCATCCCCACTCCCCTAAACCACTGTCCATCCCCACATCCCTTTCCCCCTGTCCATCCCCACTTCCCTTACCCCCAGTCCATCCACACACCCCTTTCCCCTTGTCCATCCCCACTTCCCTTTCCCCCTGTCCATCCCCACTCCCCTTACCCCATGTCCATCCCCACTCCCCTTTCCCCCTGTCCATACCCACTTCCCTTACCCCCTGTCCATCCCCACTTCCCTTTCCCCCTGTTCGTCCCCACTCCCCTTTCCCCCTGTTCATCCCCACTTCCCTTTCCACTGTGTCCATCACCACTCCCCTATCCTCGTGTCCATCCCCACCTCCCTTTCCCCCTCGCCACTATCTCATCTCTGTCGTGCCTCTCACTTGCCACCAGCAAAGCACACCTTCTGCATCGCAATTCTCTTTCTCACCCTTCACTCCAGGCGGAGCTCACATGTCCGGCACAGAGAGGGGCGGTGGAGACGAGGGTACCGGCCGTGCTGCCTTGGTGCAGGCTGGTGAAGCCAGCGTGACTGAGACGGCCAAGGCATTGCACAGGTTGCTGGATAAAAGAAAGCTCACTCTCAGCTGTCACTTGACCACACCATGGGCCATCCTCCGCTGCGGATTGGCAAGCCTCATGGGAGGTGGTTGCGTGCCACGGGATAGTGATATGGTATTCTTGTTCATCGAAGCTGCCCCCGCTCTTGTTGACTATTTACTTGTTGGACAGGGGGAAAGGGAAGTGGGGATGGACAGGGGGAAAGGGATGTGGGGATGGACAGGGGTTTAGGGGAGTGGGGATGGACCGAGGGAAAGGGAAGTGGGGATGGACAAGGGGCAAGGGGAGTGGGGATGGACAGGGGGAAAGGGGAGTGGGGATGGACAGGGGAAAGGGAAGTGGGGATGGACAGAGGGAAAGGGAATTGGGGATGGACAGGGGGGAAGGGATGTGGGGATGGACAGGGGTTTAGGGGAGTGGGGATGGACCGAGGGAAAGGGAAGTGGGGATGGACAGGGGGCAAGGGGAGTGGGGATGGACAGGGGGAAAGGGAAGTGGAGATGGACAGGGGGAAAGGGAAGTGGGGATGGACAGGGGGAAAGGGAATTGGGGATGGACAGGGGGAAAGGGATGTGGGGATGGACAGGGGTTTAGGGGAGTGGGGATGGACCGGGGGAAAGGGAAGTGGGGATGGACAGGGGGAAAGGGAAGTGGGGATGGACAGGGGGAAAGGGGAGTGGGGATGGATAGGGGGAAAGGGAAGTGGGGATGGACAGGGGGAAAGGGAAGTGGGGATGGACAGGGGGAAAGGGGAGTGGGGATGGACAGGGGGAAAGGGAAGTGGGGATGGACAGGGGGAAAGGGAAGTGGGGATGAACAGGGGGCAAGGGAAGTGGGGATGGACAGGGGGAAAGGGAAGTGGGGATGGACAGGGGGCAAGGGGAGTGGGGATGGACAGGGGGAAAGGGAAGTGGGGATGGACAGGAGGCAAGGGGAGTGGGGATGAGAAGGGTAAGGGGGGGTGCACGGGCGAAAACCAGGCACACACCAGGTACATACCAGGTACGTACCAGGAGTCGGGGACACTCACACTAGTACACCCGAGAAGTCGTGTCAGAATCAGGCCTGTCAAGAGGCTTGATGGCTAAGTCAGCGGGGGCGCTGCAGGCGTGACTGGATGGAACGCTGGGAGGGACAGAGGGAAGGCGAATTGGGAAGGGACAGAGGGAAGGCGAATTGGGGAGGGACAGAGGGAAGGTGAATTGGGGAGGGACAGAGGGAAGGCGAATTGGGGAGGGACAGAGGGAAGGCGAATTGGGGAGGGACAGAGGGAAGGCGAATTGGGGAGGGACAGAGGGAAGGCGAATTGGGGAGGGACAGAGGGAAGGCGAATTGGGGAGGGACAGAGGGAAGGCGAATTGGGAAGGGACAGAGGGAAGGCGAATTGGGGAGGGACAGAGGGAAGGCGAATTGGGGAGGGACAGAGGGAAGGCGGATTGGGGAGGGACAGAGGGAAGGCGAATTGGGGAGGGACCAGATGGAGGGGGAAAAGGGGAGTGAGAAACAGGGATATGGAAAGGGAGGCATTGAGGGAAGGGGAAATGGGTACTGACTGTGAAAAGGGGAAATGGGGAGTGACTGGAGAACGGGGAAATGGGGAGGGACTGGGCGAAACGGGATATGAGGAGTGACTGCGAAACGAGGAAATGGGGAAGGACAGAGGGTTGGATAAATGGGGAGTGGCAGAGGGATGCCGAGATGGGGAGGAAAAGGGATATGATGAGTCACTGGGAATTGTGGAAATGGGGAGGGATGGAGGTAAGGGGAAATCGGGAGTGGATGGGATATGGGGAAATGGGGAGGTATTGGGGAAAGGGGAAATGGGCAGTGACTGTGTATATGGGGAAGGGCAGCAGAAGGGGAAGGGGAAATGGGAAGTGAGAGGTAAAACGGGAAGTGGGGCAAGGCAGCAACCCGCCTTGGAATCCGTCTGGAAGAGAGCCGGCACGGTGCAATGCCTTGCAATCTGCCTGAACACTAGCAGGTGCGGCGCTGGGCCTTGCAGCCTGGATAAAAACGAGCAGTTTCCGCGCAGTGCCTTGCAATCCGTCTGGGCAGGTGGAGGCGCGGTGCACTGCAGTGCAGGAAAAGGTTGAAAACGAACAGGCGCGGCGCAGTGCCTGGAAATCCGCCCCTAAAAGAGGCGGCGCAACACAGTGCCGAGCAAATCGTCTGAGAACGAGCATCGCGGCGTGGTGCCTTGCAATCCGTATGGAAACGCGCAGGTGAGGCGCGGTGCTTTGCAATCCGTCTGGAAACGAGCAGGCGCGGCGCGGTGCCTTGCAATCCTTTTTAAAACGAGCAGGTGTGGCGCTGTGCGTAGCAATCCGTATGAGTGCGAGGTGGCGGGGCACAGTGCCTTGCGATCTCCGAAAACGCGGAGGCGCGTCGAATTGCCTTGCACTCCGGGAGACCGAAACTTCTTTGGGGCGACGTGGCATTGGAATCAACCCAAAATCACATAATGGGCGCAGCGCACCCTAGCATTCCGTCCGTACGCGAGTAGCATAGGCGATGTGCCGTGCAATCCGTACCTAAGCCTGCGTACGCAACTCAGATGCTTGCGCTGCCCCTCGAATGCAGGAGTGTCGGCCTACAGTGGGGGTCGTGCCCGTTCGCTACTTCTATCCCCTGAAGCAAAGGTCGTACCTGGTGTTTTATTTGCTAGCGGAATGAATGGTCAATGCCGTCACTTTATTTGTCGCGGAGACTGAACACGCCAAGAGGTAGAGTCTCAGAAACAGCAGCTATGACCGTTTGCTCCCGAAATATGTGTTTAAGCACGCTTCGCTTTCGTTGAACGGTTTCGTGACTGAATACGCTACCCTTTTTATTCCGCGTTTAGTGCCGTATCCGTGGCGCTAGTGAGTTTAGACTTGGTAGCGTGGAACCCAGGTCCACTTTGAAGAGCAAGTTTGGGCCCACTGGAACAGTCGAGCTCTGTCCTGCCCCCCTCTCATTTTTTGGTGGCTCTGTTCTCACACGTTAGTTCGTATCGTGTTCCCCACTCCCCTCTTTGCGCACATTTCAATCCGTTTCCTCTGTCGCACATGTTAGCCTTCGCTTTACATGGATTGGATTGGCGAACACGCCCACCAATGCCCTGGATCGTAAGGGGACCAAAACCTCGCCGTCCAATCAGATTCTGATGGTTGCTTCTCTTTAGAAAATTACAAGGTGTTCATGAACAGTGGTTCGATTCTTGTCGAGCAGGGAGCACCCTCCTGAAACAGTGCCAGAGTTTCAAACTGGGACTCCCTTCACTATTTTACCTGTTCACTTATGGGACTCCCTTCACTATTTCACCAAACGTCCCGAGCCGACGCAGTGCACCGGCAATTGCAACACGCCGTTAGAAACCACCAACACTCAGAATGGACTGGTTTGGTTTGGCTTCGGAGAGACGTTGGAAAGGTTTGGTTAGTTTTGGCGGGGAATCCAGGTTTTGACGGAAGTGGCTCGACAATCTCTGGGGCTCGGTGAATGCAGGTTGGTGAACAACTCCAGCCGAACTCACGGTTTGGGTAGATCCCTCGACGAAACGATATGTCACCAGTAACTTGCGAGACGAAACTTTCCCGACTTGTTTGGCTTGTCGCAGCGACCTGTGGAGACTCGTCATCTGGGTCATCACTTGGCCCGGTCCGAGCAGGCCCAGTCGGACCAGAGAGACCGTTCTCTTTCTTTTGTGTTTAGACGATGACCCTGGGACCTCGTTTCGTTTCAAAAAGTACAATTCGAGTCAGTGCAGCACTGATCACACAGAAAACCTTTGGTGTCATCGGACCATTGAGAACTCCAAGCAGGAATACGCCTTCCCTTCGCAAACCCAAGCTGCTGGCCTTGTCAGGAGTGCTGAGTGAGATAGTGCTTCATAAAATGCCACTCATCGATTTGAGTGTGGGAAGCAAGGCAGTGTAAGACAGTCAGTGAACTGTCGTGGGAACGGGACGCATAATTAAGAAGTTTATTTTTTTAAAACCACCGTTCATCGGCAAGGCAAGGGGGCGCATGCGATATAATATCGCGGCGTTCAGTCTCTCCCGAGACCTGCCTCGCGCTCCTCCACTCACTCCCACTCACCACGTGTACGCGGCCCGGGTACAAACGTTTTCAAGAGAACAACCTATTAGGAGCGCGGGTTTCAGATTGCACGAAGTTGGATTCAAGTCGAATCAGCTTGAACCACGTGGCTGCCCTTCCGTTGTGTCGCCCGCTGCGCCCAGGCGTCGGTCGATCGCGCGCCATGTGTCGGGATCTGTAGCCTCTTCGAAGTTGCGAGTGCGCCACGTGGTTCGTTTAGCGCGGCAGGTGTTGGTGCTACTGGCGATGGCGGCGCGAGAGGTGACGGTGGTGTTCGGCGAGGAGCGGTTCAAAATGGAAGTGGAGGTCGATATGGGCGTGGAGGTGAGGCGATGGGGGGGTGTGAGTGTGCGAGAGGGGGGAGTGCAGATTCGCCACTAATTTGCCAGGCCCAGAACGTTTAGAGACGTCTCAAAACAACAGTTTTGCCTCGACTTTGACCGACCCCAGATAAATGAATTTCCAATCAAGGAGGAACGGGGGGCCGAGGGACGGGGGATGGAGGGACGGGGGATGGAGGGACGGGGGATGGAGGGACGGGGGATGGAGGGACGGGGGATGGAGGGACGGGGGATGGAGGGACGGGGGATGGAGGGACGGGGGATGGAGGGACGGGGGATGGAGGGACGGGGGATGGAGGGACGGGGGATGGAGGGACGGGGGATGGAGGGACGGGGGATGGAGGGACGGGGGATGGAGGGACGGGGGATGGAGGGACGGGGGATGGAGGGACGGGGGACGGAGGGACGGGGGACGGAGGGACGGGGGACGGAGGGACGGGGGATGGAGGGACGGGGGACGGAGGGACGGGGGATGGAGGGACGGGGGAGCAGGGATGGGGGAAGGAGGGGCGAGGGAGAGGTAGAAATGGGAAAAATACGGATCGGGGAATGGGGATGGGCATAAAGAGGATACAGAGCAGGGGCGACGGGTGGGTTGGTACGGGGCAGAGGCGAGAGGGCTGGAACCCTTCTTACCCCCAGGAATGGGATGAGAGAGCGATAATTCTTCAACGAGGGAGGGATAAGTGAGAGCTGTACGGTGTACCTGTAAGGAAGGCAACGCGGGGGAGGCGGATATGGACCTATTCTCCGCCTCTTCTCATGCATTCCAACCCAACTAGCTTCACCTCACTCCCTCTGTTTTTGAGACTCCACAATAATCAGCCCAGCCGGCACCCTCACTCCCACCCACTGTTTCAGACCTACCTTCCGCCTGTGCCTACCTACCCATGCCTGTTGTGAATCATGCCATATCCCCTCACCCCTCCCCCACTCTCTCCCCGCCCAATCCTCCCCTCATCGTGCATCCCTGGCCGTCCATCCCTGGCCGTCCATCCCTGGCCGTCCATCTAAGCGCAGGTGCTGCAGATTCAGATCTTCTCGCTCACAGGAGTCGAGCCGGAGAACCAATGGGTACGTGCGTGGGGCATGGAGCTTTCTGTGCTTCGTGAGGGGGGCTCATTAGAATAATCCGTCAATCTCTTGCGCCGTCAACCTCACAACTCCGTGAAGCTCAATTGATTGATTGACGACCTCAAACAATCCGGTAGTGCTTGACTGGTGCTCCTCATTCATGCTTCCTTAGCTTAGCTTAGCTCTTGCCGTGCCGTGGCGTGACTCAGTGGCACAGTCACTCATCCCTTCTTGCCATCTCGTTCCGCGTTTCCCAACCACCATCTGAAGGGATGCGGCTGGGCATGAGGGTGGATGCTGTGGTCGCCTTTATCCCTTCTTATCGCCTTTCTTCTCTATTGCTCGTGTCCTTTCACCTCACCCTCTCCCCCGGCTTGACCCTTGACCTCTCTTGCTGCATGCCAATCTGTATCGCAAGCCGCTTCAAAACCACATTTATCCTTTCTCACTGCCTTTTCTTATTCGTCCTTTCACCTCTCCCTCTCCTCCGGGCGGTCCCTTGACCTGTCCTCACGGCATGCCACTATGTGCATGAGGCGCCGCAGGGACATGTTCATCCCTTCTTTCTTACCACCTCTCCCATTCGCCTCTTTCTCTCCCCCCGCCTTCCCTTTCACCTCTCCTCGCTGCATGCCAAGTTGTATTGCAAGGTGCTTCAACAGCACATTCATCCTGTCTGACTGCCTTTTGCCATGCGCCCTTGCAGCTCTCCCTGCCATCCGGCCCGTCCCTCGACCTCTCCTCACCACATGCCCATCTGCCATCTCTTCTGCCGCCTAGTGCCGCGCTGCTGCTGCTGCACGATAGGGGGAAGAGGGGGGCGCAAGGGGAGACGGGGGCGGAAGGGGAGGAGGGGGCGACGGGGGAGAAAGGGGCAGAGGGGCGTAAGGGGGAGAGCAGCAGAGGGGGGGATGAGGAGGTGGCAAGGAGACTGCAGGTATGCACCATGGCATGGCATGTATGGAATAAATGGATGCTTTGTTGGTTGACTCAAGAATTGTAGCATGTATGGATGAGTGTCCCTGTATGCTCTCAATGCCACCTGTGGGCCATGCCATGATGTCAGGGCCTTTTCCACTGTGCATGTTCATGTGCGCACGGTGCGTCTAACCATACGCATGTCTTGTTCAGCACCTTGCTTGCACACCAGCTCATATTTTAGGCTCCTCAAAAGCCCATTGTTTGGCGCCTTAGAAGCCGTTAACTTTCCATGTGAACACACACATGTCTTGCTCAGTACCTTGTGCAAACCAGCCGATACCACTCGCTCGTTCACGTCGCTGCATCTTTCGGCCTATAGCGCCCTCCCCACCTTGTGCCCCCTCTCTTGTTTGGCACGTATTTCTCTGCCCCTTTGTCACATCACATGGCATGGCGTGGGTGGCATGGTGCATGATGATACGGCCATGGCATGCCACGTCATGTGATGATGCATGCTACATGGTCATGGCATGTCATGTGATTGCATGGCATGTGATGAGAGCAGGAGGAGGAGGATGCAGCACTGGCACAGCAGATGCAGCAGTCAGAGGCACATGCCATGCAGGCCATGCTGCAGCAGCTGAGGGGGCAGCAGCCGCCACAGCAGCAGCAAGGGGGGGTGGGTGGGGGACATGGTCAGTCTGCGTTGCAGGGGCGACTGCTGTCGCTGTGGAGCAATGTGATGCAGGTGAGTGCGGTGCGGTGCAGTGCCATGTGGTGCAGTGCTGCACACTATCTTGGGCTGTGATTCCATCAAACGTTCATCGCTAATCTCTGTGCTAATGACCGCCGCTCTCATTCCGTGCACGTGTCGACCCCCTCCCTCTCCTTTACCTTTTCTCCTGTTACCCCCTTGCGTATCTTCATCCCCCTCCCATTCACACCCCACACTCCACACTCCACACCCCACACTCCACACACACACTCCACACCCCCATCAGTACGAGGACCCATCGCGCCAGGCCAAGGCGCGCTCGCTCATTCCCCTGCACCAGCTGGAGGAGGCTGCTGCACTCTCCCTTGCCAAGGTTCGCCTCAGTAGGCACGGCCATGGTCATACGTCGGGGTGGGGCCGCTTGGGGTTGGATGGGGTGGGGTCGGGTGGGGTTTGTGGAGTGGGGTCCGGTGGGGTGGGGTGGGGTGGGGTGGGGTGGGGGTCCGCCTCATTCTCCCGCAGCAGCTCGAGCAGGCCGCTGCAGTCTCCCTTGGTAAGGTTCGCCCCAGTGGGAAGTGTTGTGGCCAAAGCTCCGGGTGAGTGTGCGTCATTGCGCGGCATGGCATGCACCAGCTGCACGAGCGTGCTGCACGCATCCTTGTTCAGGTCCGCCTCAGTACACATGGGCGTCGCCACAGGTCCAGGGAGGGTCAGGTCGGGTCGGGTCGGGTTGGGACGGGGCAGTCGATTCGGGCTAGATCGGGTGTGGTCAGGTCGGGTCTGGTGAGGTCGGGTTGGGCCGGGGGTCCGGGTGATTCAGGTCCGGTCAGGCCAGGTCCGGAGGGGTCGGTCCGGCGAGTTGGGGCTCGTGCTGGTTCGGATCGGGTCGGGTCGGGTCGGGTTGGGTCGGGTTGGGTCGGGTCGGGTTGGGGTCCGTTCGGGTCGGGTTGCATCCGGTCGGTCGGGTGGTGTCTGGTTGGGTCGGGTTGCATCCGTCGGGTCGGGTCGGATTGGGTCGGGTCAGGTTGGGGTTTGGCTCATTTCTCTTCAGCAGCGTCCTTGCTAAATTTCGCCAGACATTGTGCTGTGCGGTGCAGTGCGGTGCTGTGTTGTGCTGTGCTGTGCCATGCTCCCTCCGTTGACTCAATAGCATTTCATCAAGGGGCATGGATGAACCTGCATGCAAGCTGTTGAATGTAGAAACCATAGTGCTGCTGCTGGGTGTAAGAAGGATAAAAAATACGGTTTTCGTAAAGTACGGTCCATTTTTTTTCAGTCGTTTTCTACGGTATTTTTTCAAAAGTACGGCCGTTTTTTTGTTAGAGAACTCTGGTCACCAAGACAAAAAAGGGAAAAACAAGGTCAAATACATTTTCAAACATGCCAACAAGCGCACACGTGCAAGAAGGGGCCCGTCCCCTTCATACTGCTGAAATTCGGGTTCAATTTGGTCCCATAAAGTGGCCGAATTGTTACTTCAACTGAAAACACCTCCTGGAACCGTTTTAAACCGTTTTAAACGGTCGTTTTTTACTGTACCGTTTTTTACGGTAAATTCTCAAAAAAACGGTCGTTTTTTTTAACCCTCGTGGAGTGGGGAGAGGCTGACTGCCTGCACCCACTGCCTGTGGGACTAGCACTCCACAGCCTACTGCACCACAGCCTACCCGCCAGCAGCAGCCGTGAGAGGCCGAGTTCCGTGATGCTGTGTGTTGAGTCGGCTCAAATCACTCCTGCTCTTATGCTTCTTGCCTCTTCTCCCTCTTCTGCCTCTTCTCCCTCTTCTCCCTCTTCTGCCTCTTCTCCCTCTTCTCCCTCTTCTCCCTCTTCTCCCTCTTCTCCCTCTTCTGCCTCTTCTCCCTCTTCTCCCTCTTCTGCCTCTTCTCCCTCTTCTCCCTCTTCTCCCTCTTCTGCCTCTTCTCCCTCTTCTCCCTCTTCTGCCTCTTCTCCCTCTTCTCCCTCTTCTCCCTCTTCTCCCTCTTCTCCCTCTTCTCCCTCTTCTCCCTCTTCTCCCTCTTCTGCCTCTTCTGCCTCTTCTGCCTCTTCCTCCCACCCGCCTTCCCCATCACAGCAAGGCCAGTACCAGCCGTCAGAAGGGGAGTTCCGTGACGCTGTCTTGAGACAGCTTCTCGTCTGGTTCAAGTCCTGGTTCAGGTGATTGCAGTGCGGTTCAGCTGATTAAGTGCGGTGTGGTGATTGCGGAGCACGTGCACGTGGCTGAGAGTAGATCCATGTGGCAAGCTGTGCACGGATGCCCTTGTCCCCCCCAACGCTCCTCATCGCCCCTTCACCATCATCCTCCCCTTTTCCTTCCCAGCCCCTCAGGTTCGTCCACCCCTGCTTCCCTGCAGATGGGTTCACTCCCCTCAGAGCGCCTGCTGCCGCACCCCCACCTGTGGCTTCCATTCCTCACTCCCCCCTCTCACCATCACGAAATCCTTTCCCTTCTCAGCAACTCCTCACCAACCCCTTCACCATATTCGCGACGTTCCTATTCCCCATGCTCCTCCAGCGTTCCTCAACGCCTCCCTGCTGCCCCAAGTAGATGGGTCTCCGCACATGGGTTGACTTGACTCCCCACCATGCCCCCCTGCCACAACCCCACCTGTGCCTGCCATGGCATCGCCACGCCATCCCTTTTCCGTCTCCCCTTGTCTGTCTCCCTGCGCTTGACCTTCCCTCTTGCGCTGCCTCTCAGCAGATGACTTCACTCCCTCCATGCCCCCCCTGCCGCACCCCCACCTGTGCCTGCTAGTCCCCATCCCTACCCCCACCTGTGCCTGCTAGTCCCCATCCCTACCCCCACCTGTGCCTGCTAGTCCCCATCCCTACCCCCACCTGTGCCTGCTAGTCCCCATCCCTACCCCCACCTGTGCCTGCTAGTCCCCATCCCTACCCCCACCTGTGCCTGCTAGTCCCCATCCCTACCCCCACCTGTGCCTGCTAGTCCCCATCCCTACCCCCACCTGTGCCTGCTAGTCCCCATCCCTACCCCCACCTGTGCCTGCTAGTCCCCATCCCTACCCCCACCTGTGCCTGCTAGTCCCCATCCCTACCCCCACCTGTGCCTGCTAGTCCCCATCCCTACCCCCACCTGTGCCTGCTAGTCCCCATCCCTACCCCCACCTGTGCCTGCTAGTCCCCATCCCTACCCCCACCTGTGCCTGCTAGTCCCCATCCCTACCCCCACCTGTGCCTGCTAGTCCCCATCCCTACCCCCACCTGTGCCTGCTAGTCCCCATCCCTACCCCCACCTGTGCCTGCTAGTCCCCATCCCTACCCCCACCTGTGCCTGCTAGTCCCCATCCCTACCCCCACCTGCACGTCCTCTCTCTCACCTGCTCTGCTCTCGTCTCTCCTGGTCCCCCCCACAGGTGGGTGGACTCCCCCCCATGCCCCCGCTGCCGCACCCCCACCTGTGCCTTCCACGGCAACGGCACTCCTTCCTCTGACGACCTGCACTGGGGGGGCAGCGGGTTGAGCTACACAGGTGAGGGGCAAGGAAGGGGAAGAGGGGGGTGGTTTGTGTCAGGCATAGGTTTGGCACAGGGGGATGAGAGGAGTGCTCCTGCTGCCACTCACTCACTCACCCTCCTGTGCCTTCCACGGCAACGCCACTGCTTCCCTCTCCCTCTTCCTTGCTCTTTCCCCCTTCCTCCTTCCCCCTCCCCATCCCCTTTCCTCCCAGCCCCCCTTCCCTTCCTCATCCCTTTCCCCTCTCCCGTCTATCTGTTTCCCCGGTGCTGGGTGTGCGCGCGGTGTGGGGTGTCAGGTGCAAGCAGTGCACCACGGTGGCGCGCTTTGTTCGATACAACGACCCTGCCAAGGTAGGTCGTAAGTCGTAAGGAGGCGGAGGCGGAGGCAGAGGCAGAGGCACGGGCACAGGTGTGCGCCTTGTCATTTTTTAGGCGCCTTAAGATGAGGAAATGCTCTCGAGAGGGGTTGGTTTATTGCTTTCAACTATTCAGTCGAAACAGAGAAATCTGTTGCCAATTCCACACGCACCCACTGCCACTTTCCACACATGCCTCCTTGGTTGGTCTGACATGTCGCCTCCTCGGTGTGACCTGTCAGCTCCTCCGCCTGAGCCATCTCCCTTCCCGCCATGTTGGGCACCCTTACAGCTCACCCGACTTTGGGTCTCTCTTTTCCCCCTGGCAGATGGGCACGGCTGACTTCGCTTTTCCCCCTCTCCTCCCTCGTCCCTCCTCTCAGCTCCTAGTCGCGAGCGAACTCAGCCTGAGCGAGGCCCGCTGTGGCGAGTGGGCAGGATCGAGTTGTCTGGTAGTCGCCCCCCTGTATCCTCCTCTCCCCCCTCCTTCCCACCACACATACAGTGACACTGTGACACGGCTCCTGGGCACCAGGAATGGCTGCTGTGGGGAGTGGGCCGGGCTGAGTTGAACGGCATTTGCCCTGCTCTCCCCTCCTTCCCTCTTCTTCCCTCCCTCTCCGCCCTCCGTATCCAGCTCCTGGACACCAGGGAGGGCCGCTGTGGCGAGTGGGCCAACGCCTTCACCCTCTGCTGCCGGGCTCTGGGCTATGTTGCCAGGCAGGTGTGTGCGATGTCACTATAGCAATGCAGGCAGGTATGCAAGCAGGGTACATATCTGACAAAACTAGTTATTTTATTTTAAGCAGGGTACATATCTGACAAAACTAGTTATTCTATTTTAAGCAGGGTACATATCTGACAAAACTAGTTATTTTATTTTAAGCAGGGTACATATCTGACAAAACTAGTTATTATATTTTAAGCAGGGCACATATCTGACAAAACTAGTTATTTTATTTTAAGCAGGGTACATATCTGACAGAACTAGTTAATTTATTTTAAGCAGGGTACATATCTGACAAAACTAGTTATTTTATTTTAAGCAGGGCACATATCTGACAAAACTAGTTAATTTATTTTAAGCAGGGTACATATCTGACCCGGGCGGGTTGGGTCGGGTCGACCCGGCCTCGGGTCTTGACTGACCCGAGGTAACTTATCTGGGGTCAGCTCACCTTTTTCAGACTTCCGACCCGATGCGGGTCGACCCGACCCGTACCCGCATCGGGTCGGGAAAAAAACGGGTTGGGTCGGTTCGACCTGACCCGACCCGTTGCCGATGTGTACCAGTTAGCGGTGTGAAGATAATGGATAAGCTGTGGGTGCCTGTGTCTGCCTAGCTGCTGTTGTTCTGCTCAATTGCAAAAATTATATAGTTTGTCCTCATGTAAAGTTGGCATGTTTGTGCACGTGTGCATGCGACACGTTGATGGTTGTGCATCTGCATGGCTGTGCGTGCATATGCATGTGATATCCACAGGCAGTGGATTGGACAGACCACGTGTGGACGGAGTGCTACTCGCATGCCCAGCAGAGGTGCGTGCCATGCGGTTCTGTGGTGGGCCAAGGTGGGTGGGAATACGTGGTGGGCATGGCGGGCGGCGATGGCAGGCAGTGGATTGGACAGACCACGTGTGGTGTGGACTGACTGAGTGCTACTCGCATGCCCAGCAGAGGTGTGTGCAAAAGGGTTGTATGCGCAAAGGTGGGTGGGAATAAGTGGTGGCTATGGTTGATAAGGGTTTAACGCTCCTCTGCTTGCCATGTGTGCATGTCATGCCTTCCTTCCCGCGCTTTCCTCCCCCCGTCCTCCCCAGTGCAGGTGGATGCACGTGGACCCGTGTGAAGCAGCCTTTGACACGCCCCTGCTCTATGAGCACGGGTGAGTGCGGATGAGCCGTTGGGGGTGGTTGGGTGGGGTGGGGATGGCTAGTGCCAGTCTATGCTGTGCGATGGAACTCTGTGACATTCTCTGACTCTCTTTTGCTGCACTCTTTCTGTCGGTGCATGGGCGAGCAGGTGGGGCAAGAAGCTGACGTACGTGTTTGGAGTGGGGAGGGACGGGGCTGCTGACGTCATCCGTAGATACACACGACGATGGGGCGAGGTAGGTCTCTGACCTTTGAGTCGACTCAAAGCTCATCTCTGGTGTGGTCGAGGGTTCTTGAAACATCGCCTTCACATCACATCACATCACATCACATCGCATGGCACATGCCATGCAGCAAGAACAGCAAGAGCAATGAGAGCAAGAGCAGTTGTTGTGAGTGCAGAATATTGGCCATTTTTCTTGTGTGCCGTGAGTCCACTCAAAGCACACTCTTCTTCTGCAACCATCCTACCTGCCACATCCCTGCCTCCTGCCACAGCCTTTTGAGGCGCCTCAAAAGCCTTCCTCCTGCCCCCTGTGGCCTGCCACAGCCCATCCGAGCGACCAAGCCCACTCTCGTCCAAATAGCTCAAGCTCATCCATCCTTCCTTCTCCCCCCCTCCCCCTCGCAACGCATCCTTCCCCTTCCCCCCACCGCCCAACCCTCTCCCGTCCAATCAGCTCCAACAAAGGCGAAGAGAAGCATCAAAGGCAGCTGTAGCGGCTGTAGCGGCTGTAGCAACGATTTTCAGAAGTGAAAATAAGAGCTATGGTAACTTGCAAGTGATATCTTGCAACCGTGGAGCTGGTTGCAAGTGCACACCATTGCTCGCTCCTTCCCCCTCGCCCCGCCCCAGCTGCCCAAACCCTCTCCCTGCCAATCAGCTCCAGCACAGGCGGCAGAAGCATGAGAGGCAGCTGTAGCAGCGGCAGTGGCAGTGGCAACTGCAACTGAAGGTGGTGGCCCTTGCAGACCACTGCTTCCTTTTCGTCCTCAACCGGCCTTCCTTCCCCGCTTCCCCCCCGCCCGCTCCCCCCCACCTCCTCTTCCCCCAACTGCCCACCCCTCTCCCTGCCAATCAGCTCCAGCGCAGGCGGACAGAAGCATCAGAGGCAGCTGTAGCAGCGGCAGTGGCAGCGGTGACAGGGAGGGCTCGAGGCAGGGTTGGTGTGGATGAGAGGAGGCGGTTGGAGGAGAGGGATGCGAGGGAGAGCGATGAGCTGAGCGGAGGGAGGGGAGGAGAGCAGGAGGGAGGAGGGGAGGGAGGGGAGAGGGGTGGGATGGTGTTGGGAGGGAGGCAGACCGGTTCTTTGGAGTGGAGAGCAGCGAGAGGGGAACTGGGGTCGGAGAGGGGTGGGGGTGATGGGGGGATAAGCGGGAAAGAGGGAGGGAAGCAGGGTGCTGAGGGGGCTGAGGGGGGTAAAGGGGGAGAGAAAGAGGGGAAGGATGGGAGGTTGGAGAGGAGGATGGAGGATGGGCGCGTGGGAAGACTGCTGCTGGGTGTTGGGGACATGTGTCGCGATGTTATTGGCTCTCCGACAAACAAATCATCGTCAGGAGCAGCAGCAGCCAAGCAAAAGTCGTTAGACTCATGTTTAGACGCTCTCCTGTCTCTCCTCTCTGTTCTGCGGTCGCTCCCCTTCCGGTCCCGCTCTTTACCCCTCAACGACAAGCTCTGTGATCCCTTCCGCAACATTCTCTTGGGTGCAATAGCGTCGTCAGCGGTCAGTAGGAGTGGTGCTGCTCTTTCTTCTCCCAGTACCTCTGCTGCTGCTGCTGCTGCCGCAAATACCGCCAGTGGCAGTGATGGGAGCAGTGCTTGTAGTAGCGGCGAACGAGGGAGCAGCAAGCATGGCAAGAGCAGCACAGAAGAGAGTCCTATTCCCTCTGCAGCACCCCTGCTCTCCCTCCTCATGGCCATGCGCGTTCACATCTGGAAGGAGGACGAGAAGGAGGGGAGTGATGGGACAGGTTGGATAGTCGGGGTGAAGGAGAGGGAAGGTGAAGGAGAAGAGGGGACGAGAACAAAAGGAGCACAAGAGAGGAGAGAAGCGGGGGGTGTAGAAGCTGAGGATCAAGAATTCGACGAGGTGTCGCAGAAACAAATGGGGATGCGCGAAAATGGGAAAGGGTTAGCGGCAGGGTCGGGAGGGTGGAGGTATTGGGAGGGTGCTGTGCTGGCAGCTATGGCGTTGCAGGCAGCACAGGAGGTGCTGCCACGTGTCAAGCAGGCATTGGAGCAGCTGCGGGCTGGGAATGGTGAGGATGGAGACGCGGCATGGCTGCGGGGGTTGGTGCAGCACGAGAGGGTGTGTGGCGGGTGGGTGTCGGCTGATGGGGAGAACACTCCCAACGAGATGGTGAGAGGGGTGTGGCTCTTAGGTGACAGACAGAGCGTGGGGATGAGAGGGAGCACGGGGTAGTGAGGTTGGTGGTACGGGTGATGGGTAGTGGGGTTGGTTTGTGACAAATTAATGAGATGTTGAAGCGGATGGAATGCCATGTATGACATGCTGCAACGTGCCAAGCATTCGGTAATCTCTTCCATGTGTGTGCCCCCCGTCCCAGGCGATATCGGCATGCGATGCATCTCTGCACACCAAATGGCTGCACCATGAGGGAGGGAAAGGTACGCTGCTATGACACGTCATGCCATCTCATGCCATGCCAGATCATGTCATGTCATTTCAGGTCATCATAGTATGTCATATCGTGTCTATCAGGTAATGTCATGTCATGTGAGCTCATGGTTCACCATGTCATGCGCCAACCACTGAGATCTGGACTCTCTGTTCTGCCGATGCCAGCACCCCTCAGTATCCCCCAGCGTCCCCCAGCGTCCCCCAGCGTCCCCCAGCGTCCCCCAGTATCCCTCGGCATCCCTCACTGCCTGTTTGTGTGCATGGCCTTCACATGCTCATCTTGATTGACCAAGTAATCGGAATTATTACTCTGAATTATCAGTTGCATGTTGCTTAATCAAGTGGAGTAAATGTACTGTGTTAGACGTTTTAGACTTTTCAATCTCTCTGATGGCACCGTTCCCTTCAGGTGCATGGCTACAGTACCGGCCCAGTGGCTCCGCTCCTGTCACAGTCACCATGTATTCAATCACATCGGCGAATGATTGCCCCGAGAGGGACCCCAGCTGCTGGTGAGTTTCGCATAAGGTGAGCTCGTAAGTGGTAGTCATGGAACCATTTGTTTCAATCAACCTCTAGATCCTTTTAGCCTGCCAAAAATGCATCAATCTTTCACTCGTGCACTGCATGATTCTGTGAAACATATCATCCCACCCACACACCACTTGCACTGAATCAGGTCACTGCGAGCCAGCAAGGATGGCGGAAAGACTTGGAGCATTCTGGATTCGCAGGTCGGTGTGCAATTCAACAGCAGGCACCAGGCTCGAGTGTTTCCGGTCAGCCCAGCCAAGCAAACCCTGGCGACTCTGTTCAGGTACAGCTTGCGGCATTCAGTCTGTTTGGGTACCAGAACAGAGCTAGACTCATTAAGGGGGTACCTTGCAGTGCAGCCATGCATTCCTGTGGGTGTGCGTTTCTTCCGTGGTGCCTGTTTGTTGCCCCACGTTCCTGTCATTCCTCTTTGCATCTGTGCATCCGTATGTGGCAAATGTCAAACCATATTTAGGTAATAGTTATGACTTCCACAGCCTTACACGTTCGCAAATTGGCAGGGGTCACTTCGTAAATTGAATGCACAGCCCGCTTAACGGAACAATCATGAAGCTCACTAAAGTATATGGCAAATAATTGCTTTGACCACTCTCCCCTTGTTTGCCTTGCAGGCTTGACATCTCAGCCGTCCGAGACCCGTCCTGCAGCTGCCTTCAGCTTGCCTGCTTTGACCTTTACACTGCACAGCAGCCTGCAGAGACAGATCGTCAAAATACACGCACAGGCACTGATTATCTTAAGATTCATAATGAAGGAGTCCCATCGCTTCCAGCAATGAAGCCACCATCTCCAGTGGTTACTGCAGCAGCTGCAGCAGCGGCAGCAGCAGCAGCGCGAGAGCAATTTGCTATGGCAGTACGTGAAGAGTTTCAACGGCTGGTGGTGGAAGAGAAGGTTCCTGCGAATGAGGCAGCTGGACGAGCTCTGAGGCATGTCCAAGAGAGATTGACACAGGGAAAACCATGAGCATTGTGGTGGGCCAAGACTTTGATGCTGCAAATTGAATGAGAAAAGAACAGGCATATTGTACTACGGGACTGTATTGATTTCTAGTTTGTATGCTTTAACATCAATGCACGGCCCACCACTCTATGCTCGGTTCAGCCTGACATCAGTGCACTCCTATTTATTGCCCACGTAGACCGAAAAATACCTCCCTATAATAAACCTAGACACATTCTCAACTGTGACCATCATAACCAAACTGACTGCATCACTTGTGTGAAATTTCAAACACCCTTGGTGTCCGCATCCTCAGCTTCTCCAGCATTGTAGGCCCTTTGCTGAGAGTATCCTTTGGAGATGCAGTGTAAGAAGGTCCACCAACTTCAACTTTTGCTAGACACTCCTTCATGGCTGCAGCCTTGACCTCTGCCTCCTCTTTCTTCCGTTTGGCTTCCTTGACTTCAGTAATCAGCTCTTCTCGCAACTTCTTCTCATGGGCCAGCTGCTCTTTCAGAGTCTTTCGTTCAGCATGGAGGTCTTCAATCATGCTTTTGCAATCAGAGTGCTCAAGGATCTGCACAAATGGAATGCAGGTTACGGTAGGAAGTGGTGTATAAATATTTTGAAAAGACAGCAGGTTTTACCTTCGCGGACATATTCTGCAGTGCAGACTGAACAGAGGCGTTCTCAGACCTCAAAACTTCAAGATCTGATGGGTACAAGGGCTGCTGCTCGTTCTCTGACTCCTTTGCACTTCCCTGTTCCTCATCAGCTTCACTTGTGGAGCCAGCAGGAGGTTCTGCTGCAGATAATCTGGTATGGGAAATAGGGTCATTCGAAGCCCGTGATGTCCTCATTGAGCTTCCCATCTCAGCTGCAGACATAAGAGTCTTGATCACCTCCTTTGACTCATCTAGCTGGCACTCCTGCACCTTCACCAACTCCCTCAGCCTCAGCAGTTCTTCGCATTGAGAGCTGACTTCAGACCCCTGGGACAACACTTCAGCCACTGCAGCACCATTGCCATCAGCAGCCAAGGAATCTGCTTTCAGGTTTTCTTTCTCACCCTCCTTCACCGTCTCAGTCTCTTCAGCATCCTTCCTCTGTTGGGGTTTCTCTGACCTTTGCTCCCCAAGCACTGTACCGGCATTTTCACACTGCAGATCCTTCTTGTTAAGGCAGTCTAGGGGACTGGCAAGTTTCTTCTCCAGCTCCTTGTTCCTGGCCAGCATTTCACCAAGCTTCGCCTCCAGCTCGTGCACCTTGCCCTCTTCCGCCAGAGCCTTAATCTCAGCTCGAGCCCGCTTCTTCGCTTCATCTCCACTTCTGAGCTCTGCCAGAGATCGCTTCTTTCCTTCCTCCTGAAGCTTGGCCTGGAACTCTCTTCGCATTTTTTCCTCTTCCTTTCTAAGCTTCAGTTCTTGGCGATTGAATGCTTCCATCTTGCGGCACCTTTCAGCTTCCTCTTTCAACTTCAGCTCCAGCTCCAATCGCTTGTTTTCCGACTCCTCAAGCTTCAAGGTCATGCCCTTCAAAACATCCTGATCAGCCTTCACTTTCACATTGTACTCCTTATGCGTTCGCTCAACCTCATTGAATGCTGCCTCAAGCTTCTGCCGCTTCTCTTCTTCTTCCTTCGCCTTGACTTCTGCCATGCGTCTCAAATGTGCAGCCTCATGCAGCTGGCACTCCACCAGCTCCAGCCTCCGTTGAAGTTCAACAACTTTCTTCTCGGCATTGATCCGGAGAGACATCTCAGAGTCAAGCTGGTTTTCCATCTCTTGTCTCAGCTGTTCCCCTTCACTTGCAGTGTGCATAGCGTCAGCCATTTGCTTTTCAAGAACCCTCTTCCGTGCCTCTGCATCCTTCCGTTTCTTCTCCTCATCCAAGGCTCTCGCTTCGGCCTCTTTCCGCTTGTTTGTTTCAATAACAACCTTCGCCTCGACTTCAAGTCTTTTCTTTTCTTCAGCTACAGCCTTCTTTTGTGAATCTTGTAGAGATGCTTCGAGTTTTTCAATCCTCCCTGATGCTTCTCGGACAGCAATCTCATCATATGCTTTTCCCACAGAATTCTCAGCTCGCTTCATTATCTCCACTTGGCTAATAGTTCCTTGAATGGCAGCGGCATGCACCTGTAGCAGTAGACAAGTGTACGATCATGTTCACAGGCGACAATGCCTAGAAAAAACAGAATTGCAACGTACCTGACTCGAGCGCTTCGATCCGTAACGATGGAACATTTGGACGACGTCATGGCGCTTGTTGGACTCGGCTATTTGCAATGGTGTCTTCCCATCCTGCAACAAGAGATTTGGTTGAAGTCGACTATAATAAAATGTCCTGGGTTAGGATCTTACCTTGGTCTTGGCAGTCTTGTCGGCTCCTCTTTGCAGCAAAACTTGTGCAAGCTCAACTGTGCCGAATGCTGCTGCGCAGTGCAGCGGGGTAAAGAATTTCTGCATGACACTTGGTCGTCTTAGTAAATACCGTGAAGGGATGTCTCACGACTCTCAAGAAATACCTGATCCCGTGCGTCGTGATTGGCTCCAGATTCCAGTAGCATTATGACTTCCACAATGCGTCCAAGCATTGCTCCGAGATGGAGAGGCGTTTGACCTTCCTGTAGTAGGAGTGAGTTTGGCTTAGACGGACACTGGAAACTTCGCACATTAACAAAAGGAATCTAACCTTGTCCTGTGCATCTTTGTCAACCGAATGGTCCAGCAAACGCTTTACCGCTCCCGTTCCACCTCCCCAAACGGCATGGTGAAGAGCAGTCCATTCGCCCTGATACATGCGAAGAAAAACTTGCACGGATTGTTCACGTTGAAGTACAGTGAAATAATGCGTGCTACGAACCCAAGTGTCACGTGCTTCAGCCTTTGCGCCTTTGTTAAGAAGGACGTCGACAATACGTTCATGGCCTAGCCTTGCAGCCACGTGGAGAGGTGTTTGGCCTTCCTGGTATACGGAGTGTGACGTCATTCAATTTCTGGAAATTTAAGATCACGGCGAGAGAAAGCAAGCTCTCTTACAGCATCCCTCGCTTCAATGTCGACTCCCTTGTCCAAAACCTTCAGCACTTCATTGAAATTTCCTTCCCTAATAACTTTGTGCAACAGGCGTGGACCTGGGACATGCATTGTTAGTTCGACGTTCAACAACTCAGGCTTTTTTTCGTTTTTTCACAAACTATCTACCTTCCATTGTGGGCTATGGTTCTCCAACACGATAGGTGTATGTGCACAGAACAATGAAAAGAGGATTATCGATTCTGAGCTGCTCGCTGGAGTAAGGAAGGATGGCTTGTCGGGGGTTCAGATAAGGCTGTCCGATGACGTGACCCAACGGTCACGAGCGAGGGTGTTCGCATCAATCAAAATGCACTGAGCTGTTCCCGGGAGCGTGTATTCCAACTGGTGAACTCTGGGAGGGGTTGAATTCGCATCCAATCTCGCCTGTCCCTTACTTCACAACTACCTGAATCCTCGTTTCGAAATGACAAAATCAGGCAGATTGCCTGCTTGGACGCAGATTTCGGTTCAGGACTAGTCTGACCCGCCATTGCTGAATGCGGCCCCCAAATCCAAACCCCTTTGAGCGAGAATGAAGCAGGGCACCTACCAAGGTCGTGTGCACGATTCCTCGATATTGTGCGCACTTCGAAATCGTACTACCGTCATTGTTGTTATTCGAATACCCAAATATTGAGTCTTGCCTTTTGGCACGAAGTCTTGTAAAAATTGCTCACGCACACTTCAAGGTTCGAACTTCGAAGAAGTCGCTCCGCACTTCATTTGGTACAGTGTCGCCATCGTCGCACGAGATGTGAATGGGTTATGCCTAATGCAAAAGCATGTCGCGGGCGTCGTAACTCTTGAAGGGGCGAGGAAGGGTATGTCAAAATGCAATACGTATATGCTAGTAGGCTGTAGTGGGGTAGCCCATATAGGGTACAACCCTTTTAGGGTTGCATACTTGTATCTCACTGCTGCTAGTCACACATCATTCCGCTGTTCTCATTCTGACATGGTATTATGCGCTAGGTTAGGTCCGACTGCCGAACCTACTACCGAACCTACGACTAGGTCCGAGTGCCGAACCTACTACCGAACCTACGACTAGGTTAGGTTTGCCCTGCTGCCCCGCGCCTCGAGCGCCACTGCCCCACTGCCCTGCTGCCCCCGCGCCCCGCGTGCCCTGCTGCCCTGTGCGCCCCGCGCGCCCTGCTGCCCCACGCTGCCCTGCCCTGCGCGTCGCGCTGCCCTGCCTGCGCGTCGTGCTGCCCTGCCCGCGGCGCCGCGCTGCCCTGCCCCGCGCGTCGCGCTGCCCTGCCAGCCCGCGCGTCGCGCTGCCCTTCCCGCCCGCGCTTCGCGCTGCCCTGCCCGCCCGCGCGTCGCCCTGCCCTGCCCGCCTGCGCGCCCTGCTGCCCACGCGCCATGCGCGCCTTGCTGCCCCGTGCGCCCCGCTCGCCCTGCTGCCCTTCGCGCCCCGCACGCCCTGCTGCCCCGCGCGCTCTGCCCCTGCTGCCCTGCGCGCACTGCTGCTGCTGCTGCCGCCAACTGCTGCCGCCTGCAGCCACCCTAGGTGCTGCCGCCCTTGCTGCCGCCTATGCACGCTGCTACAGTCGCTGCCGCTCCTACTTCCGCCACTGCTGCCACTGCACCTGCCGTTTCAGCTACCGCTGCTGCAGTCGCTACTTCAGCCCTTGCGCCGCTACTGCTGACTGCCGCTGCCGGTCATGGCCACTCTCACTGTCCTAGCGGTTGACGCAGACGGGCGGCCTTTCATGTTCGAATTGTGGCTCGCCGGCCTGCGCCGGTATCTCCGGCGTTTCGTTAGAGATTGCGTTTCCCTACTCGAGCACACGTCGGGGTCCCTCCAGGCCCCCACGACTCCCACTGAGCCTGCTGCCGACGCTGGAGAGTACGTGTAGTGGCGGTACCGGGCGGACCGCCTTGCCTACACACAGTGGACGGAGCGCGACGCTGTCGCACAGCTTGCCGTCCGAGCTCACCTACCGGTCGACCAGCGGGCCCACTTTCACCAGGTGACGTCGGCCCAGACGTTTTACGACGCTGTGGTTAGACACTACTCCTCCCTCTCTCCTGCCACCCGACCACTGCGGCAGCACCGTCTGTTGTTAGGGGAGGTGCAGCAGCTGGTCGAGGAGGCGAGTGTAGGTACCTGTGCGTCTGCTCGTACATGTGGTGCAGCTGGTGGAGGCGGAGGTTTCGGGGGTGGACAGCTGCGGCAGCAGTGTCAGCTGGAGTCAGTCCCTGGTGGTGTAGAGGCTACTAGTCTAGGTGCTTGTGAGCCTTCTGGCACAGGTGCAGCTCCTGTGGAGGCTTTGCACACCTTCACGCTTGACTCCGGCGCGACTCGCTGCTTCTTCCGCGACTGCACCACATTCACACCGCTCACTACACCTGTCCCGGTCACTCTGGCTGACCCCTCTGGGGGCCCAGTCGTTGCACGTGCCTCCACCGTTCTCCTGTGTCCGGCAGCCCCCTCTGGCTCCCTCACTGGTTTCCACCTCCCCTCGTCCGCTGAGAACTTGGTGAGTACCGCTGTCCTCCAGGACCAATTTGTCACTGTGACTACTCCTGGGGGTGAGTTTGTGGCGATATGTACGGACTCACGGACTGGCGCCCACCTCGCCACGTTCACTTGGGGACCCGGGTCTGGCCTGTACACACTGACCACTGAGTCTGCACAGGTAGCTGCGTCTGGTCAGTTAGCTGCGTCTTGCTCGTGTCGGTTACTCACGCACCCGTCTCTCATGTGGCACCACCTTTTGGGTCACCCCTCCCTGCCGCGTCTACGTAGCATGCACTCCCGTCTCCTTGTCTCTGGGCTCCACAGGTCCCTGCCCCTGCTCCCGCGGTCGCTTGCACCGCCGTGCCTTTCCTGCGTCGAGGGGCGGCAGCGCGCCGCTCCTCACTCCTCCTCGTTTCCTCTGACCACTGCTCCTCTGCAGGCTCTCCACATCGACGCATGAGGCCCCGCCCGCGTCCGTGGATAGGACCACGAGGGCTACTTTCTGCTGGTTGTTGACGACTACACGCGCTACACCACGGTCTTCCCCTTGCACAGCAAGGCAGATGTCCGCGGTGTTTTGATCCCCTGGATCCGCACTGTTTGTCGCCAGCTGAGCGCACGGTTTCAGCAGGACCTTCAAGTCCTGCGACTGCACTCTGACAGAGGCGATGAGTTTTCCTCCCGCCTCCTTGAGGACTTTTGTCGTGAGGAGGGCATCGCCCAGTCGTTCATGCTTCCGGCCTCTCCACAGCAGAATGGGATTGTTGAGCGTCGCATTGGCTTGATCATGAAGGTTGCTCGCACCTCCATGATCCATGCGGCTGCTCCCCATTTTCTGTGGTCGTTTGCGATCCGATATGACGCGCATCAGCTCAACCTCTGGCCCCGTGTCTACGTGCCAGAGACCTCGCCTACACTCCGCTGGACGGGGGAGGTTGGCGATGCGTCGGCGTTTAGGGTCTAGGGCTCGTTCCCTCTTGTCCGTGGTACCACCGCTGGCAAGCTCACTGCTCGCACTGTTTGCTGCGTCTTCCTTGGATTTCCTACCGACGCGCAGGACTGGCAGTTTTACCACCCACCAACGTGTCGCGTCCTGTCCTCCTGCGACGTCACCTTTGACGAGTCGGTCTGCTACTATCGTCTCTTCCCCCACAGCACTTCCCCCGTCCCCTCCCGCCTCTCTTCCTGGTTCCAAGTCCCCCCCCCCCCAGTAGACCCCCTCCCCCCACAGAGTCCTTCTCCCTCATGTATGTCTCAGGTTGACCCACCCCCCTTGGTTGAGCCTTTGCATGTCTCCTCTGACACCTCCGGCCCATCTGAGGGGGGTGACCCTGCTGCCGACGACATAGCGGCCACTCGCCGCTCACCGCGCTTTGAGACCCCTCCTGGTTTTCCGCCTCGGCCGTCTTCACCGCCTCCGCAGCCTGTCGCTGTAGACTCCGGTGCTGCTGGGGGTGGTGACACTGGAGGTGTGGACTCTGGGGGTGCTGGTTCTGGGGGTGCTGACTCTGGGGGTGCCGACAGTACTAGTGGTGGTGGAGTCGTGGGTGCTACTGCTGGAGTTTCTGGCAGTGGACAGCAACAGCAGTCTCGTCGTCAGCACACACACACACACACACACACACACACACACACACACACACACACACACACACACACACACACACACACACACACACACACACACACACACACACACACACACACACACACACACACACACACACACACACACACACACACACACACACACACACACACACACACACACACACACACACACACACACACACACACACACACACACACACACACACACACACACACACATACACACACACACACACACACACACAGAGACACACACACACATACAGACACACACACACACACACACACACACACACACACACACACACACACACACACATACACACACACACACACACACACACACACACACACACAGAGAGACACACACACACATACAGACACACACACACACACACACACACACACACACACACACACACACACACACACACACACACACACACACACACACACACACACACACACACACACACACACACACACACACACACACACGCACACACAGTCAATTAAGAAGCACGTACGGCATACTCCATGGGGATGAAGGTGGAGAGCACACAAGCAGAGCCTCAAGCAGGTTGCAGCAGTGGGAAGGTGGTTGGGAGGTCGGGGCAGTGGGATGATGGTGGGTCCCATTTTTGCACCCTGCTTGTCAGGGTGTTCGGGAGAGTAGGTTCGGAAATTGGTGGGGGTGGAAGGATTATCATTTGCTGCCATTCAGCTGTAGCTCTCCTTCGAGTCCTCCCCTCCAGGTTGGTTTCAAGCCCAGGACGCTCTTGAGGCGCCTGGAGCGCTCCCCAAGGGATGGCTCTGGCCAAGAGCGCTCCCCAAGGGGTGGCTCTGGCCAAGAGCGCTCCCCAAGGGGTGGCTCTAGCCAAGAGCGCCCCCCAAGGGCTGGGCCAGGCTCGCTAACTTAGGGATGGCCAGGGTTTTTTTTTTTTTGGATTTGCACTCCTCGGATTTTCAGAGTTGTTTTTTTTGGAACTCTGAAAATCAGGGTTGATCATGAGCGTTACTCTGATTTGCCGGAGAAAACTTAACTTCTGAAGAAAAAACTCTGGACAGTCAGTGTACCAAATTTTCCAGCTCTGAATCCTCTCAAGTATTGAACCCACGCCTCCCGTACTCCTTCAAAGACCTTCACCGCTATGCTAACCGTTCACTAAAGATTGAGGAGACGCATTCTGTATATAAATGTAAACGTCTGCTAGCCATTTTTCCACCAATTCAGGGGAGGCTCGGTCGAAATGCCTGTACCCTGTACAGAGAAAAATGCATTCGCCAGAAATTTACAATGGTCTATCAGAGTAGCTAAAATCAAAACCCTGGCAAATCAGAGAAAACTTATTCTCCAAAAATGTTACCCAGAAACGTCAGAGTGACCCCCCAAAAAATCGCTCTGATTTTCAGAGAAACAGAGTAATTAACTCTGAAAAAAACCCCGTGGATGGCTCTGGCCTGGAGTGCTCCTGAAAGGATGGTTCTCGGCTGGAGCACTCCCAGAGGGATGGCTCTGGTTTGGTGCATTCCCAAAGAGATGGCGCTGGTCCGGTGCACTTCCAAGAGATAGCACGCGCATGGTTTACCTGGAACCATCTACATTACACACCTATTGTTGCTCATCTTGTGTTAGGTTCATTTATATATGCAATTTAGGTAATGTGTAAAGATGGTCTTCTTTTGAGTCTAAGCTCTTACGGTACAAAGTTTGTGGCTGATCCAATGAAGTGCTCTGCTCACCTACACTGATTCACAGCCCTAACCGCCCTCCACTCCCCCTACTACCCCACACACACACCCACCCACACACAACACCCCACCACCCTCGACATCCCCAAAAACCTGCATCCTTTTGAGCTGCAGATTCAATCATAACAGCCATCACATCCCGTTGTGGCTGACACCAGTGGTGCTGCTACCGTCGCCACTGCAGCCACTGCTGCTGTTATTACCACTGCCATCATTGTCCCCATTGTCACTACCATCGTTGTCCCCATCGCTGCCATTTCCACTGTCACTGCTGCTGCAATTACCACTGCCATCACTTGTCCCCATTGTCACTACCACCATTGTCCCCACCGCTACCACTGCTGTTATCACCGCCGCTGCTGCTCCCATCACTGCTCCCATCACCTCCCCCCTTCTTCTCCCCCAAATCCACCTTGAAAATATAGGTGCCCCAGTTGCTATAATCCGTCCGCTCCACGCCGCCCACATACTCCACTGCCGCCCACGCGTTGCCGTCCTCATCTATCGTGGCCGACATAAAGAACCCATACAGCAGCACTGGGACGTTGAAGCGGTATGCTGCGATAGGCAGTGGTGGGGCTGGGTGAGGGGGAGGGGGGGGGGGGGGAGGGGGGGTGGGGGACCTTTGAGTTGACTCGTCTATCGTGGCCGACATGAAGTCCCCGTCAGCACCACATGGATGTTGAAGCGATACGCTGCACATAGGGAATAATGGGCGCGGAGGGGGGGTTGGGTAGGGTCAGCTTAAAGCATCAAGTCCCCGTCAGCAGCACAGGGATGTTGAATCGGTACGCTGCGATGGGGAACGTTAAAAGGGAGGGGTGAGGGAAAGGGGGGGCTTGTAGGGCTCAGGTTAATTTTACAATGCAAGCAAGAAGTCCCCATGCAGCACCGTGTTGAAAGCCCTTGGTGTCTGGCATGACTGATGGGGCACACAGCTGATGTGGGGAAATGGTTGTTTCTGGTGAGGTGGAGGGAGGTGAGTCACCGGCAGCGCAAAGGCATTCTCGAGTCACCAAACCACAATGGACTGCACCGCACCATACCATACCATACCACACAGGTGAAGCCCCAAGCAGCGCTGACAAGCCGAATACCCACTGAACTGCTCTGAGGGAGGACAACAGCCAATGCGGCAAACTCTACCAAGAATCCTCAAGCCAGGCTGTGACCTTCAGCAATGCATCAAGTGCTCAAGCCAGCTAACGGTCACCGGCGGTGACTCCTACTGAGCATCCTCAAGCCAGGCTGTGACTTACTCAGGTAATCATCGAGAGGCGCTTTCCCCGGGCCGGCGACGACGACCCTGCCCACGTCAGTGTTGGCGTTGATGCGCGCGTAGGCAGCCGAGGGGTAGAATTTCGGGCCCGCCAGCGACGCTGCCAGGATGCCCTCTCCACGGCTGAGCGGGAGGGAGAGGAGAGGCAGGGGGGTGATGAGAGGTGGGGGGAAATGAGTGGTGGGGGGATTTGAGAGGGGCTGATTGAGAGTTGGGGCGGAACGAGAGGTGGTTGGTGCAACAATGGCTACACAGGTGAGGATAGGGAAGTGAGCAAGTACAAAAAGAGTTAAGTACAAAGGTGCAGGGTGCGAGAGTTCAAGGTAAAACAGTGCAAGGGTGCCATCCCATGCCCCGTACCATATCTCCTTATCCTCATCCCCCTCCCTCATCCCCCTCATCCCCCTCCCTCATCCCCCTCATCCCCCTCCCTCATCCCCCCCCTTCATCCCCCTCCCTCATCCCCCTCCCTCCCTATCCTCTCCCCACCCACCTGTTGAGCGCCATGGTGGGCTGAAGTAGACTGTTTCCCTCCACGCCCACCGCTTTGAACCGCTCCAGAAACACGCGGAACGTGTGCGACTTGCGCTGGGGGCGAAGCGACAGCCGCAGGCGAACCACCACAGCAGTGGCACTGAGCTCCTTGCCAGCTGCAGACATAAACGACACCCACATCTGCCTCCGTGCAGGGTCCACCACCACCGCACTCGCATCCACACCTGCCAGCCCGATGGGTGCAATGCCGCTTCCCATCTTCCAGGCTATCGGCACGGGTCCTTTCTTCTGGGTGGCTGCGTGCGGGAGGACGTGCGGCGAGGTGTACACCGCGGCACAGTGCGGTTCCACGCGGTTCTCTGCGTCCGACGTGCCGAGGGCCATCGTGCCGGTGAGGGCAAAGGCGCCCATAGCGGTGACGTTGGGAAACAAGATGGTTTCGTTGGGGGCGCCATGGTTGGTGCTGCCAGTGTAGGCAAAGTACATGGTGCCGCCGTGGGAGTAGTCATATGAGCCGTCTGCTGCAACCTTCTGAGGGAGAATGGTCCAGGAGGGGTTGGTGGGGGTGGGAGAGGCCGGCACGACGAAGCGCAGAATGTTGGCGTTCTCTGCCCGCTGCAGCTGGGCCTTGGATGTGGCACTGGCAGGGAAGCACAAGGGACGATGGGACAAGGGGAAAAAGGGCCAAGGGGGTGGGTGAAAGGGCTTGGAAGGAGTGGGGTCTCAGGGAGGCCGGCATGACGAATCGAAGAATGGTAGCGTTCTCCGCCCGCCCCAGCTGCGCCTTGGATATGGGGGATGAGGGGGGGAGAGGGGGGGCGCGGGGATGAGGGGATGAGGGGGCGAGAGGGTGGGTGAAGGGACTTGGGAGGAAGAGGTGGGGAGGAGACAGGGGGAACGTGGTGATTACAAGCAGGGAGCGATTGCGTGTAGGCACACGTATGCAAGGTGTATGGCATGTGTTGGAATCAGAGGAAGTCCTGATGCGAAAGAACACAGAAGCAAGAATAAGAGAAGTAGGTGAAGGGAGGCTTGACTGCCTGCCTTCTACTGGCGACTCACAAGATGTTGGGTCCCAGAAGGCTGGAAAAGTCCTCGGGAAATTGGTTTGCCGACACGTACACTCCTGAGGGTAAGGGAAAGGATGGGAGGGGACGGAAGAGGGAGGGTAAGGGAAGGTCAGTGAGTGGACGGAAGGGGACGGGAGAGGACGGACAGGGACGGGAGGAGACGGAAAAAGGACAGGGGGGTTTTCACAAATGGTATGGGAGGAGACGGGAAGTGAGGTGAGGAGGGAGGGGAAGACAGGAAGTGAGGAGGGAGAGGAAGACAGGGAAGGGGGGGGAAGCGAGGCGAAGGGAGGGGGCGGGAGAAGTGTGTACGGATCGGAAGGGAGGAGAGACAGGAGGGGAAGGAAGCGATGGGAGGGGATGGGAGGGGATGGGAGGAGATGAGGCGGGGACGGGAGAGGACGGTTGGCATGTGTGGTGAACGCATGCCAAGGCACTCACCATAGGCATCGGTGCCGATCTGAGGGACAACAACTGCAAGGCAACAAACAGGGATGGATGGGAAAGGGAATGGGAAAAAAAAAAAGCGAACATCTGGATTGTGGTAGTACTCATTTTTGTATCCAGCACGCATTGTCAGTCAGCGTCGCTCAACTCAGAGTCGCTCATTGGCAATGAATCAAGGTACATTGCCAATGAGCTGAATAAAGATGCATTGTCAATGAACGTGCATTGCCATTAGACGTGCATTGCCATTAGACGTGAATTGCCATTAGACGTGCATTGCCATTAGACGTGCATTGCCATTAGACGTGCATTGCCACTAAACGTGCATTGCCTATCAGCGTTTTTAAAACGGGAACATCGTCATCCCACGTACAGTGAGTGGTGAGTCATGACGTGGCGAAGTGAAGAGGCGCCCTCCAGTCAGCATTGGAGTTGATGCCGTCGTTGCTGAAGAGAGGGGCGAGCGGAGAGAGAGTGGGGAAGGGGGGGAAAGGTTGGAGCGTGGGAGAGGTTGGAGAGTGGGGAAGGTTGGCGAGTGGGGAAGGATGGCAAGTGGGGAAAGATGGAGTTGATGCCATTTGCTGGAAGAGAGGGCGAACGAGCGGAGTGAGACAACAATGAGTGGGAAGGGCTGGGTGCATACACGATAGGAGAGTGGTGGGGAAGGTTGGTAGAATTTACTATAGAAGTGTGGGGAAGGTTGGGGGGAAATAGTATGATTTGGGGAAGGTTGAGAAAAAAGGAAAATAGTTTTGGGTAGATAGAAGCAGCCATAAGAGCCAGGGATGAAGAAGAAGTTCCAAGGCTTGGTGGGGTCGTGGGTGGTGGGAGTCACTTTTTGAGAAGTCTCAATAGTGGGTAAGATTGAGAAAGGAAGCGAGCCTTATGAGCCAGGGATGAAGAAGAAGTTACAGGGCTTGGTGGGGTCGGCGGTGGTGGATGCGGCCACTATGAGGCCCGCTCCCACCGTGATGTCGCCCCTCCTCCTCGTCAGCCCAGCCTTGTCAAACGTGTTGTTGAACTGCCCCGACTGGCAGCCAAGGGAGAGAAGGAGGGGAGGAGGAGAGGGAGCGAGAGGTTCGAGGTTGGCACCACATGACAGAACTTCGGCAAAGTAGCAGCAGAAAGGTTGGCAAGAAGCAGCAGCGGGTGGCGGGCGGCAATAACAAGCCAAATGTGACTTTCGAGTCGAATCAAAGGTCAGAGGTTAGCAGGAAGCAACAGTGGACGGAGCGGCGGTACTCACGAGCCAGACTGCGGTGAGGTAGAAGCGGCGGGCCTTGCGGTCATACGTGCAGGTAAGCCCCCCGATGTTGTCGCCCATCACTGACGCCTCCAGGGGGTCCCTCCGATCCACGTAGTCCGGGAGCGCTCCGAAGAACTGCAGTCAACGCGGAGAGAGGGAAAGAAATAAGGGCACGGCGGGGAGACGCGAGAGAGGGGGGGAGAGGGAGAGTGGGGGGACGAGGGAGAGAGAGGGGGAGGTAGGGGGGCCGGGTGGGAGAAAGAAGGAGAGAGGGAGAGGGGACAAGAGAAGGGGAGAGAAGGGCAGAGAGGAAGAGAGAGGGTTTAGGGTTGAAGAAAATGGGGCAGAGATACGGGAAGAGAGAGGGGGGAGAGGGAAAGAGGCGAGCAATAGAGCAAGAGAGCACGCATGCTCATGGTGATGCGCAACAGTGAGCAAGTGAGAGCGGCGAGCGCTCATGCTTGCCTGCCTGCCTGCCGCCGTGTGCTTACCTCGTTCTGAGGGATGATGCGCGTGAGCTGCTTCCCCTGCGTGTCGTACACCACCAACGCTGCCGTGGGGGGAGGGGAGAGAGTGAAAGGAGAGGCACGGAGGGAAAGGAGACACACGGAGGGAGAGGAGAGGGCGGTAAATGAGGGAGAACAGTGGAGAGGAGAGAAAGGTTGACGCGCGTGAGGTGAGCTGTTTCCCCTGCGTGTCATACCCCACCAACGGTGCCATTGGCGGAGGGGAGAGAGTGAAAGGAGAGGCACGGAGGGGAGGAGAGGGAGGACATCGAGAGGAGAGAGAGTGGAGGCGAGGTTTGATGCATACAGGAGTGCAAGGAAGAGTACAGAAGAGAGAGCAATGTTGACGATACAAGTGCAGCTTTTGAGAGCGAAGATGAGGTGAATGAAGGCAGGAGGGATCATCTCACCAACGTTGACAGCGTGGACGATGAAGCCGTTGCCCACACACAGGGTGACGTCTGGAGGGGTCACCTGCACCTGACGCAGAAGAAAAGGCATTCAGTGAAATAGCACACTCCGCTAAAATAAGTTATGCAAAACCTCAAGACAAGATAAAACTATAATGATAATGTGTTAGAACTAATAAATGAATGAATAAACCAACAACACACAAAAAAACTGTGCTTGTGGGCTGGAAGGATGCATTCTCACCACTGTGTTGTTGTACTGAGGCGCTGTCCCGCTATTCACTCCAGTATACTCGCTTATTCGCGGAAACCCCACCGTCGCCCCCCGCTGCACCACGGGTTTCATCTCCGTTGTGCGCGCCAAGAACTCTCCCACCTCCACCGCGCGCGCATTTTGTCAATCGGGGAACGAGCGGATGGGGAAGGTTAGCGCGGAAGCTTGAAGCATACCATCCGACGCTTGAAATTAGGTGGGATTGACTAAAACTGTAACATATTGACCCACCCACCTGGTCTCGATACGTCGAACCAGCTGTGAGGGGGGAAACAAGGGGAGAAACATGATTGGTTGGAGTTTGATTGGAAGCGAGGAATTTGAGATTGACTTGATTGGAAAACTAGCCAATCAAAACTCTGCTATACAATTGTGACAGAACTTACGCGATAGGTTTGAAAACAACCCACGTAAGTTCAAACAGCACCCTTGTCCAACCAATAAGAACATACTCACACAAAGTGAGTCGACGGAACTTCCGCCGCTGGTTGGAAATAGAACCAATCAGAAACAGCCAACCTAAATCCAACTCGACTCTTCCTTGAAATTGCATCCAATGCAACAACTCAGGTTTGTGATAAGTGTGCATTGTTATCCTTGCTGTCTATTGTCTAATTGGTTGGGAACTCCAACCATTGCCACATGGGCAAAGACCCATGGTGGTGCACCCTTCCTTGCCATGGGGAAGGTGGCTGCACCCCAAGGGGGTCTAGGGAGGGGTCTGAGCCAAGCGAGCTCATTCTTCACTTCCTTGTCTTCTCTCATCAACTCACTTTCCAGAGTTTGTTACTGCATCTCCTAGCACTCTTCAGACTTGGTAATTTCCAGGAGCTGCTACTCTCTGTTTGTATTACAACCTATTGATAAATGGGTAAATACCCTTTTTGTTAGTAGATCCGTTACAAAAACCGAGCGTTGTACCATCTGCTGCTGAAGCGGGTTCGGCGGCATCGGCGGCGACATCGGCGCGCCTGCATGGGCTGCCGCGGCGGCGGCGGCTGGCGGCGGCGCAGAGGTGGTCCCCGCGCTCCCGGAGTCGGCAGCCGGCGCGCCGTCGGCGGCGTCGAGCAGAGGCATTTGCGCGGAACCCGCGAACCAGAGGTTCTCCGCGAGCTTGAAAACCTCCACGCGGTCGGTCGACCCGCGCAGCGGCGCGATCACCGTACGTGTCGCTGCGTACGCCGGCGTTAGCGGCTGCAGCAGCAACAGGAGGAGAAGCGTCGTGGCAGGCGGGAGATAGTAGTGGTTGTGTCAAGGGGGGAAGCTGGCACGTGTCATTGCCATTGCGGTGACAGCGGCAGAGCTATCAGCAGGAGCAGATGCGTCGATAAACACCGAGAGTCACTCAGGCTGAGCGGAATGCATGGTACTGTGACTGACTGGCTCGAGTATGAACTCAGTGTCCGTCATTGTCTGTCTGACTGTATGTCTGTCTGTGACAGTACACATGCTACAGCTTTGCGGCTGCGGGCCGCAGTTCGCAAACCTCGCGACGCGACCTAAACGTGTAAAACACACACAAAAATACGGGGCGAAAGGGCTAGTATTGACTTGAGAAATGCCATGTCAGCAAGTAACGTTTGAATTCGTCGATGTGGTTGTGGGTGGCTAAAGAAACGCTCATTTCCACCTAAAATCCGAGTCCTGAATTTGTTTCTGCCGTTTGTGTCATTTGCGGAACTTTAATATTGGGGTGAAGGCCCAAGCAAGATGAGCAAAGACGCTTACATGATCACCCCTTGTATTGAAACGCGTGTAGCTCGCCGCGTGACCATCGCGGAAAAGTCAAACGCAATTTTTTGGCTCCCGTAGGTTTTTCTACGAAAAAACATACAGAAAGTCCCAAGATCATACAAAACATCCCAGAAGTTGATGTGACGGAAATGTCACACCCACGTAACGACTGAACTGTGACAAAAGGGTCACAATTCAGTGACGCAAAGCTGTTAGCCGCAAACGCGTTGGGTTGGTCTGGTTGGATTTGGAGATCTACGTGGTTTAGAGCGTTTGAACGCGTTTCCTCTTAGTGTTCCTCACCCAACTCATCTAACCAACTTTGTGTACAGTGATCGCGAGGCATGCGAACCCACACGACCGCTAGCGGAGAGAATAAACGGGGCAACAGCATTCGTTGACATCGTAAGAACATGACGGAAGTACTTCTACCACGTACAGCATCAAATGTACACGTAAGCAAGGGAAGTGACGAAAGCAAATCAAACACAGCTACTCAAGCCCAGTGCATCACCCTAACCAAATATTTGGGACGTGCCACGTCACACAATTGGTAACCACCCATATCTCCGGACCAATTGGCCGAACCTCGCGAATCCGTCCCAACCAAGTGTTGCAACGCGCAAAAACAGAATCAACACCCACAGCCTCCTTTTTCCATCCACACATCAGCCAACCGAACCTCAAACCACTCAAACCCCAGCCCCCCTCCCCTCCCATCTTGCCATACAAATGCTCTCTGCCTATCACGGTTTTCTCACTTTCTCGGCAGTTTGTAGGTTTGGTCTTCAGTTCAAGTCACACTCCTCAACCCGTTATGCTCCTCACCACACTCAGGACTCCATCTCCTCAAGCTCTAGGCATCTTCACGAACTCTATGCCTAGAGCTTTCGCCATAGTTGATACTTTTGAAGCTACCCTGCACTCCGCCATCGTACACTACACTTGTCAGCTACTCGCAATTGCAAGTCTCACCCTGAATCCAACCCCCTCGGCTTCCGCCCTGCCCTCCCACCTCCCTCCCCCCCTGCAGTTCATCCTCGCATCACGGGAAGCTGCCGCCAAAGCAATCGTTTTGGAAGACAGATCTGGTTAGTGCCCTGACGCAACTTATGCTTATGCCTTGCTTGATTCCTAACCCGGCGCTGTTGTAGTATTGCCTTGGTTATACATCGCATTCTGCATCTATCCCCCTCGGCTTCTGCCCTTCCCTCCCACCTCCATTCCCCAGAGTAGTTCAGGGTTAGCATCAGCGCTAAGCGACAGCACTTGTTCCCGCGCGCTTAGCGACAAGAAGCCGCCGCCCGCTAACAAGATTGGTGAGTGCCTGTTGCGGTGTAACGATGCTCACACGCCAAAAGCTCCCGTTTGTTTCCCCTTGCAAACGCCGTAACGAAAATGCTATTTCCAAATACGTCAGCTTTTCTTCTTTTCTTCCCTTTTCAGCATTTGCGCGCAACTGCGATGGAGTGTATCGGGGCTTCATCGAGCTACGATGATAAATGCAACGACGGAAGCTTGGGAGGAAGGTAAGGCGCTGGTCATTTCGTGCGAGGCGTGGTTATGTTTCTTTTCGCGCTGCTCGAGTCACTTGCTGTGTCCTATGCTTTCGGACTCACTATCTGTTGCTATTGTTTTCGTGCTTTTTTTTTCAGGTGCTATCAAGTTCCGCGCTGGTTTCATTGATGAACATATGACCATATGGTCGATTAGTTCCTACGCAAAACCTGGTGTTTTTTCGTAGCTAGGCGAACTGTTAGAGTTGGATCGTGATGTTGGTTCCGTACGTCCATATGCCAGTTGACACTTGCTAGTTGACAGTTGACAGTTGACAGTGGTCGTAAGGTTGACAGTTGTGTCCATGTACGCATGCCTGACAAATGAAAAAATTCAAAGCGCCAGATGTACATTTAGCTGTTTTAAAATCCAAAATGATGCTAAGCGATGCTGTGTTTCGTGTGCGACACGGGGTCCAAACTCAGAATCGCCAGCCAATCAAATGGCGTTTAGGCACACCCATAACTGGCATGTTATTGGTACATGTCGACCAATCACCAACAAGGACACGTGGCAAAATATCTGGATACATGTGGACGCGATTCGGTACCAGCGTAGTGACTGTCCGGTCACTTTTGTGTGACTGTAGCTGTGACGTCATTGTGACTTTTGCCTGACAAAATGGGGACTTTGCAGTGACATTTTCGCGACCCGCTAGGTTACCTTGGCCCGGTACTTCCAACCATCACCTTTTTCTACCAAAAAACCGTATACCTAAATGTGACGGAAAAGTCACAAATCCGTCACTTTCGGCCCTTGTCTTTTCCGCGATGACGGCTGCGCGCCTTTCCACCCAGATTGGCACGGCACAACTCCCAAGTTGCGGCACGGCTGCCTCTTGGAAATGCCGCGCGGAAAGACAGCACGCGCAACCATTTTGCCTATCTTTCTGCAGCTGTGGTTCCGGCACAATGGCGCTTATTGCATAACCACACCGTGTATTGGAACTTCTGTAGCGTAGCGGCGGCTGCGCGTCGTCCACCAGGAATTGTACAGTCGGCTCAACTCTCTTTCGACACTCTCGAAGGTTCACACTGTGAACTTCACAGTGTGGACGGGCAATGAAAGCGAAGCGGCTTTCCGCGACCATTTTGCAGATCGTTCTGCACATGTCGTCCGGCACTAGAGCGCCGTGAATGGCTGAGCGAACACCTTATCCCGCCCGAATTGGCTTGGAAGGATTTCCTAACTGCAATTCATACATACCCTGGACTGACCGA